TATTATCCTACTAGGCTCCGAATACTAGTAAGGTTCTGCGTGCGCTCTTCTCTTATCTCGAGCGACTTCGTTCGGTTACCTTCTTAGCTATTTTTCTACTGAGATTCGGGGTTCTTCGGTTCGGTTTAAAAAGAGGGAGTTGCCGGGTAGTAGGAGATCGCGTGTGTACGCGTTTCCTCGCTTAGCTAGTTAACTAGAAAGAGATAAAGAAGAAGAGATTTAGTTGTATGTTATAGCTAAGCGAGAGGACAGGGTCTAAATCAGTGCATTCAACGAAGCAACTAAATCTAGGGGAGAAAAGAAGAAGAGGTTCTATCTACCGCGTGGAAGCCTTTTTTGTTGTAGGCTAAAGGAACCTTCCGTCAAACACTAATTGACTAGTTCACTACTCGACCCTTCACTCTAGCTCGTCCTCGATCGTCACACTTAGGAAGTATTACTTAAGCGTATTAAGGCGCGTATAGAATTCGCGAGGGTCCTTGTCCTAGTTTTAGTAGATCCTTTTAAGCTAGCCTATTATATCGGATTTAAGGCTAGCTATATTCTTAATAAGAGTTAGGGTCTAATCCTTAAAGTAAGACTAATCTTCCTTAAGATTTTGCGAGGTAGTCGGTTCCTTTTCCTTAGTATATCGGTACTATCTCTACTAATAGGTCGGATTTATATAGCTAATAGCCCTAAGAATTTTTATATAGTTATTATAGTATTGCTTTAGTACGCCCTCGAATATCTATTAGAGGTTAAGAAGCTACTCCTAGCGTTTCTAGAGAGTATAGTCGAGCGTAAAAATAGGTAGATTTTTAAGTTTAATCTCCTAGTCCTTTCCTAATAAGGAACGAGATTCCGAGTAGAGATTCGGTAGAGAATTACTATAGGTTCGCCCTATAACCTTAGATTTTAGGTAGTCTACTTAGTCTTATAGGTCCCTTAGGCGTTATAGTTTCATGATAGTAGCCTATATAGCTACAAGGTTCAGGTTAAGGTCCGATAGGGTTATCTAGCTAGCCTAGAGGGTTTCGGTCTCCGCGACTATAGGTTCGTCGAGGATACGAGAGGGGTTCGGTGCCTCTTCAGTAGAGGGAGTAGAGCAAGTCCTTAGTGCTATCTCTCCTAGGTAGTCGAAGAAGAAGAAACAGAATTATAAAGAATAGTCTACTTGCAGGGTAGAAAGCCTGTTAACTAGGTAGGAGAGCAAAGCACTAAGTCCGATTGTAATAGAGACTATTTCTTGGGGGGCCTTCTTTCCTGTCCCCCCACTGATCTTATATATAGTAAACCCTACCACGAGAGGGGTAACCACGTTAGCTTGCATAAGCTATATGCGTATCGGCGGATAACTCTCCTCCGTAGAAACAGCGGTGAGAGGGCAGGGATAGGCCACCGAAGTGGTGCGCCATAGTTGATCTCTATGGCTGATCTCCTTGGGTGGCCTGAATCCCAAGGCCGAAAAGTGTGAATAGCCTTATAGTAGGAAATGTCATAACAGAATCGATGAAAAGAGGCCAATTTCTAACACAAATAACTCAACAACTAGAAGAGATAAAGATAATTAAATTACATTTTTGAAATCCTCATACTTTACTCTATAGATTAGTATTGATTATAGGTTCCACTTCTTTATGTGTTATATTGCCCTAAGGTCACGATTTGCTATATAGATGGAATTGAGCTAGCTAGGATAACAGGACCAGATGCTAATGCGCTTGCTATAGTGGATAGAGAATGGATAGGAAAGCAGGAAGAAGACTTAATGATAGTATTCGAATCATGTAGAAGGGTAGGGGTAATCAGGTTTAACTAATAGTTAAATCGAAGGAGAGTAGAAAACTTTACTCTATTTTTTAGAATAATTAAATATAGCTAACTAGGGTTTCCGTACGAGCATTCAACTTCTATTCACCTAGTGGAGATCTCCGTGTTCCATATGCGAAGGGCGTTTTTTGAAAGACTGCTCTATTATGGAGCATGACCAAACATAAAAGGATTCTGCCCTGAGTTAGTACAGAATAAGGGAGCTATGATCGTACGAGAGGTTAGTTCTGAATATGTGAACTATGATATCCATCTTACTTACTAGCCTGGCTAGGTCTTTAGATTTATCCTCTATTAACGTTCCTATCAAGTAGCGCTAAAAATACATGCTAAATTATTATCGTCGTGCTCGGAGTTGATGGTATACGCAGGTGAAAAGGTCTAGTAGAGCGGTAAGTAGTGCATGATATCGAGTTAGAGGCTTCCCTTCTCGTGGGTTAATAGATCGCTGAACGGGTAGTAGTCGATCTAGGTAGATAGGACTATCGTACGATAGGAATCTCCTAACTCCCTAGGCTCTGTATATTTAGCATGATATCACGCTATTTCCTTATTACTTAACATGAAAGGGTTCTCTCCTAGTTCACGACGGAGTAGGGTAAGTATGATCGTACGAGAGATCAGTTCTAGTAATATAAACTCTGACATCTGTCACGAATAAGTCTAACGTACAATATAGAAGTAGTAATTAAGACTACATGTAGATATATATTATAGAGACTACATAAAAAAAATGTTATAGTTTTGAAAGATATACTATACCCTATTAAATAGACTGTACTTATTAAAATCTAGGATATAGTAAGATAATTAACTAACTTAGAGTATACTAGAATTTTAATATCGTACGATGGCTTAAGTAATATAGTATTTAAACTGTTTATGGTAACGTAATTCCCGGCCGTCCCGTACACCCGGCGGTCCCGTACACTGTTCCCCATGAGAAAATTTCAAAATCGATTATCTCAACCAACGCCTATTAATTTGACTAGATATAGCGATTTTTACATGTATTGATCCTATGGCCAATCTCCCTACACCTACTACACCTAGCCGGAGCCCTAGTTGCTGGCCTAGTTGGCTGACTAGGCAATTCAACCTCCGTATGCGATTCCACCACATCTTCTTCTACCGGCAAACCTAGCTACGCAGCTAGCTGTAGCGCCTCTTCAATGGTCAATCCCTCTTCGCAGGGTAGGTACTTAGTTGAGCGAGTGCTCTTTTTAGCAGATCTCTCGTTAGCTATACGTAGATTCTCATTATCATACATAAACAATACGAGGCTGTGTAGCGTGAGGTAGTGGCCCTTAAGGACTCGATGTACTACCGATTTCAATAGGCTTCGAGGGCTTCGTGATAGGCTATCTAGTAGATTAATCATTATACTAGATTGCTTGCGTAGCTAAGCGATAGTTCTAGGCGTTTCTGGTACGAATTCGCTAGATCTGCTGCTTAGGCGGCTGCTTAGTGGTGACGGAGTATATAGAGAGATACTAAGCTTATTAAGCACTCTCTCTGTATCTACTAGTACTAGACTAGTAGCCACGAAGCTGTTTTGGATAGTAGCTAACTTAAAGGCTTCTAGCCGCGCGTGTTAGTAGTCCGCTAAGAAATCGCCCTTGTCGATGTAGTTATAAACGTTACGCGCAAGATCGCTAACGAAACGGCCGTACGCCTTCTTTAATAGAGCAAAGCAGCCAACATCTAGCGGCTATAGCAGATGTGATAAATACGAAGGCATATATAGCGGTATAATATCGTTCTCTGCGTATATACGGTCGAATAGGGGTGTAAGGTGACTACTATAGCCGTCAAGAATCAGTAGCCGAAACCGACCGCGCACGCGCGAATTAGTATATAGGATAAAGTGCTTTTCTAGCTAGCGTAGGCTAATCTTATCGGTAGTCTAGCTATTCGCAGAGACCTCGATTTGCTAATCTCTCGGTAGGTTATCGTCAAACCACCCTGCAATAGCCACTTTGCCCTTAAAGATCACGTATAGCGGTAGTATATAGCTATCTGCGCATATAGCTTCGATTGCAGTGACCTATTCGCGATTACCTAGCTATAGTATTAATCTCCGACCGTAGTATTCAGCCCTAGTAACTACCTTCTACGAAGATATAAGGCCTATTACAAAGCCTGTCTCATCAAAGTTATAGATATCCTCTAGTTGTATACCATTCTCGTCAATCACGCTTTATACGGTAGTAAACCAGGCTTGTAGGGCCTTCGGGTCTTCGTTTAATGCGCGCTGATAGTCATATCGCCTAGAAAAGCGTGACCGGAGCTCTTCGCGTCGTTTAACGAAGGTTGATGGCCAATTCTTGCCAACGGTAGGCGGAGGATAGCTACCACGGGCAGCTAGTAGGATATTGGCCATCTCGCCTACAGTAGTAGGCCTAGGGGCTGCCCCACGCGCATCCATAGAGAGAATCCACTTAACAAGCGATTCCTCTTCTAATTCGGTCAATTTATAGCCAGTTGCGCGATAATCAACGCGTGAAAGCACCCCCTTAGCGCGGTCGGCCAAGGTTGTATAGGGGATTTCGTATAGCCTAGCTGCTGCGCGAAGAGATTTGATACGGCCATTTTTCAAATCGCTCAGGGCTAACAAGACCTTGCCCTCTTGATGATGTGATTTCTGCGAAGATTCAGCGCGGATTGGTGGCATGGTAGTTAGTTGAATTTAGTATGTAGGTAGGAAGACGCGATTTTGGATGGGGTGTACGGGACCGCCGGGTGTACGGGACGGCCGGGAATTACGTTAGAGAGGCTTAATGACGAATCTAAAAATGAAGGATCTATGTTCTGGGTATAACAGGATTAGCCTGTGTTCTATCCCTATTCATATATGAAATAATCTGAAAATTAATTGTATTTCAAAGAGAGGAATTAAAAATGAACTTGCCAATTACATTCAGAGCTTAGGCATAGCGGTTGCGTGTAACTTTCATATTGCTTGTTAATTGATGGTATTGTTGCGAAAATATATCTCTGGTAGCGAATAAAGACAATATGGACTCTGGACGAAGTACACGAAAACCACTAGAATCAGCTAATAATTATCCACTTCAATTGACAGAAGTAATAAAGATGTTGATATTTCTAAGAAGATCCGCGCCAACTACACGTGTATGAGAGCCTACCGACTGTGAAGATTGATTAACTTGGTACAGGTCTATCATTTAGAGTAGCAGATCAAACCATGCTATTCCTGCCCCGACCAGAAGCATTACATTAACCGACCTTTTGGGGGCGTCGCTTTTCGCAATTTCCGTCGCAGATATTCCAGACGCGGTACTGCTGCCAGTATTTTTCCTAATCCCTGCCAAGCTATAAACTAAAATTCCTCGTGCCTGAACCGGCACCACCAACGTCCCCGTTTGCTCATCTACGGCAACGGTATGCGCAACACTATCATCTGTCATAATGCTCTGCAGCAACGTCCCATTGCTCGCGATAACTGCCACTCTTGGTGTCGCCGTTCCATTCGCAAGAACATCCTGGAAGGCAGCAGCATAGAACCAGCCTGTAGAGCTCGAGTATGTCACTTGGTCATTTCCCGTTACGCCTGAAATATTAGACACAATAGTGCCCGTCGATACGTCCATCACATAGCTCGCAGCGAAGCCAAAAGCGTCCAATTGCGACGCAGAGCAGCCTAGAAAGAGCTGATTGGATGCACCAAAGGCAATTCCCGCATTACGGCACTCCGGGACGGGGATCGTGCTTACAACAGAGAGGGAAGTGAGGTTGAGGACTGCTAGGGCGCCGCCTAGATTTGAGTTCGATATCGGAACCGAAACATAGAACTTTGAATCAAAGGGATTAAAAGCTGGCTGTTCAAGTGCTAAGGCCACTGGGAAGGAAATGTTGCCGATTACAAATCGACTGGTTGCGTTGATGATGCTGACTGAGACAGTAGGCTCGCTGGGGTTTGTTGCGACGACTGTTTGGCTGATGGGATCGTAAGCCAGCTCGTCTGCACGAGTTTGGAAACCCGTGCTAATGTTGGCGATGATGGTGTTTGTAAGGAGTGAGATGACTTTAATGCTGCCATCTCCGTCACCAACATAAAGTTCGTTGCGATTGGGAAGGACAATAAGGCCATTCGGGCCGGATAGATCAGATGAGGCTGAACCATTGACGAGACCGGTGTGGAAGCCACCGATGATCATGCGCTGAGTATTGTTGGAGAGGGAAATCACATGGACACCAGCATTTGAACGGTCGGACAGATAGTAAGTGCCATTGAAGATTGTACTCTGATCGACGAGTGCTGGCGTTTTAGGAACCCAAGAAATGCTAGATACAAGACTGTAGACATCCGCAGACGTGCCGGATGCAAATACACAGCCTAGAAGTAGAAATTGGAAGATGTTCATCTTGGATGGAGTAAACGAGATAACCGGGTGTAGTGATAGCTCAGAGGGATATATATACTCGAGAAACTTCCGTCTCACTATGCGTCTGCATCCACTCTGAAGGGGTTACAGCCCGGTACTTCAGACCCCGCCACCAGAACCTTTCTAGGCGGAAGGGACAAGCAATAGTACAGGCGGAGGTAAGAGCTATTACTGTGACAAGGTTATGCGCCGAGACTAGTAGGGGGCTTTGTAACGTGACCGCACTCCCCGATCTAGAGCTAACCAATAACATTAGATTCCATAATAATAGAGAGCTTAAATTCTGTATCGGCAGGGATTCGAAACCGCAGTTGCAGCCTAAATTGTGTTTTAACAAGCAAGGGAATAACTTTAGTTACGGTAGTGTTAATGTTGCGATATACGCTCAGAAGAGCGAAAATCGGTTGGCATGTGGCTTGTTCCGGTGGCGATATTCGCTTAGAAAGGCGAGTATCGGTAACGGCATCTGGCTTGGAACCTTGTAATGATCTGATATTTCTTTGGAATTCGGTGCGCCTATTGTGCCTCCTATCCCCTGGGCTGTCCCGGGGAGTCTCAAAAATTAGTGTATTTTATCAACGCGCTCTAATTGGCTAGTGGCTGTAATGCCTCGGTAACCAGATTTAGTGTAATTAATCTGAACTATGGTATCTATCCCAACATTGCCCTTTCTTACATAGCGCTACACCACACTCTCTACAACCAGACCGCACATGGAACGAATTGCGGGTAACGCGCGCTAACTCGGTGAATAGTTTCTTGGCCAGTTTCCTATTTATAACTGATCATGCATCAAAATGTTCAGCCTCAGTCCTGCGAAGATTCAAGTTTGTCTAGATTCAAATCTGTTTAGATTCAAGCCTGATTTTGTTCATGTTATATGTCTATGTGTAACTTTCACACTGTCCCAGGTGATATCATACTTATCACGAAAAATACGAAGACTAAACTCATCCCATCCTCCTGTTCTATTTAATAAGACCGAGTTCCTGTGATAGTTCGCAGCATCCTGTCCTAACATTTCGCAAGGTTGTCCTTGTCGTAGCGACTAGCCACATATTCCGTGTGGTGAGAGCTGGATGGGAGAGTTATCAGTGTAGGAGAATCTTCATAGATATCTTCTCCTCGTATTCAAACCTAAGTCACTGTGCAATACGTGTGGGCTGTGGGCCTCTGTCTCATAATAGCAAATCCAAGATAAATACGTAGTGCTACAGGCGTGCCCCAACTTCCAACGATGTATTTTCAGAGTCAAAGAAATAAATGTTATTCGTAAAACGCCACTATTCTCCTCGTTTCCTCAGAGTTCCTTTCGTAACAGTAGTATCAGAAACATCTAGACCCAATGGTGCGAGTAAAACCTGAACCAGACTGTTGGATGAAGAATGCCCTTGGAGAAGAGTGCATATTGCGATATGGGCGAGCAATGTCACTGCTCTCGGAGTCGCATTATAGATACTCGCAATGCCAGGGTTGGTGTAGAATAATGACAGCAGTCCTGCAGCTATGGTTGAAGCGGAAGCGGTGTCTACGTAATTGTTTAGCTTTGTCACGTTGAAGTCCGACATAAAGAACGTATGTGACATGCGATTCAGCTATATTATGCAAGGTTCTGATTATCGGTAATACTTGCCGCGTAGAAGGGGAGTTCCATATTGGTATCATCTCAATCTCATTCCGTAATACCCTTTTGAAAGGTCGATATCCGTGGATAGACAAATGTAAATATAGTTGAGAAACTTGTATATGAGTAGCTCGTGCATTAGCCATAAGGTTGCAATAGAACTAATTCATGGTTCATGTATAGCAAAACATCCATCTAACCTGACCTTTGTTTTCGTCGTGAAGTTTATCTCCCTCTTATAACTCCCATAAGATACCACTGCTCTCACCGGTGATAGTGCGCTCAGATTCACATCAACCAGCTTCCCACCCCTCCACTCCAAGCCAACGGTCATGTTCCCTCTCGTTCGCAAGCCTTGGACGGAACCATCATTCCATGCAAGCGGCAGCGCCGGCAAAAGCTCGATCTCACCGACACGGCTGCTCCGCAACAACATCTCACTCATGAGAGCGGTGCCACCCATGTTTCCGTCAATGACGAAGATATTCTTCTCAGCACCCGCGATACCAGCCTTTGAATATGTCAAGAGATTATCAAAAGATAGATCCCCGATCAGGTGACCCAGATGCCTGAGCGCGGACTCGCCATCGTTCAATCGGGCAAAATTTAGCCCTAGCAAGGCGGCAGTGAATTCGATGTCCTCCATATTAACGTGTGATTGGCGATTTATTAGCGTAGTCCTTGTGGCGGCCGCCAAATCCGGGTTAAGTCGCGCGCTGACCTGATGTGAACGGCAGAGGGCGATGGTGTGCGACAGGAGGCGATGATGAGGCTCTGCTTCTTCGTAGTCTTCAAGCCACTCCTGGAGTTGGCCTTTCGGTCAATTTGCAAAGGAGGCAGGCTGGCAAGGGCCTCTCGCAGTCTTTCCGTAAACGCGGTATCAACACTCGGTTCTTGAGCTGCAGTAATGCAGAAGTTAAACAAGTCCCGAATGAGGATGATATCTATAGTTGGCCCCAGGGAGAGTTGCTGTTCTTCAGAGCCGTCCAGGTACGGGAAGAAGCTATTTTCGGGAGATACTGAAGGGCCGGTGACGAGATATCCCGTCCGCGGGTCATTCACCATATATCCTAGGAAGAAGATAGCGGCCTGCTTCAAAACCGGGTAGGCTTGTTGTTCGAGGAATTTTAGATCAAGTGTATACTCGTAATACTCAATCATGTGTGTGGCTAACCACAAACCCCCAGTAACATTTAGTCCCCAGGAAGTTTCCCAGCCAGGGTCGGTGAAGCCCCAGACATTCGTGAAGACGTGGGCTACCCAACCGTCGCATCCATAAAACTGAGATGCTGTCGATTATCCTGCAGTTGCAAGATCGGCAATGAAGTTCATCAGGGGTGACTGGCAGTCGCTCAGGTTTGCCGACTCGGTCGGAAAGTAGTTCATCTGGGTGTTGATGTCCAGGTGATAGTCGCAACTCCAGTTCATGGCGTTGGCTTCGCCATCATTCCACAGACCCTGGAGATGCAGAGGTAGCGGGGAGTCCTCACGGGTCCCAGCGATGGTGAGATATCTTCCGTACTGATAAAAAGTACAAACAGGTCGGGGTCGTGCCCGTATAATTATGATGCCTGCAAGCGCTCCCGTCGCTGGTCGGTCGGTAAGTCGGATCCTTGCTGGCTTTGCGGCCTATTAATTTGGAGCCGAACACGGTGATATAAATTTTGATAATCACGGAGATGGTCGAGATAAAGTTGCTTGTATGTCTTCTGTTGAGCTTCCTGCAGCTGCATCGCAGACAAGCCTAACCGATTTTCATTACTTTCACGTCGAAAGTCGGTGTTAAAGGCTACCATGATGCACGCAGACGAAGCCTTCGATATCCCTGCATGGTTATCTATGCTGGTCTCCACTGAAATGCCTGGCGATGGCTGGATCCAGACAGAACCATGGCCGCGCACGCCGCAAGTACCGTCACTGTGGGCGGTTTCGACCGCGCGAGTGTCGAACTCTAACCCATCAACGGACGGTGTTACTCGGAATTCATTGCTGTCGCCATCCAGTCGCAGGCGAAGAGAGATGCCATCTGGAGCATCTGTGCTGTATCGTGAGACCAGCACCTGCTGCGGATGCGATATCCACGTTTCTCGGTGATATTGGTGACCATTAACCTTGTATTCAGTCACAATAGTAGCTTTCTCGAGAGATAGAACTCTCCTGAAATCGCTCACCACAGCACCTGCCGGGTGATCGAACTGCATAGACACTTTCGCAACTGTCAGATTGGTACCAAAGTTATTTTTCAGTGGTTGTAGGTATTGCTCCGAAAGCTTCTTGCCTCCGAGAAAGTCATTAGCAAAATATTTTTCCGGATTCGCTGAAGAATTTCATTCCGGTTCGTATCGTCGAAGGACGACTGTTCCGCGCGACCAGACCAGAAGGTCACCTCAGTCAAGTACCAGATCTCGTGGTGTAGAGCAGATTGTATAACGGCTCCAAGGCGGCCATTGCCGATGGGCAGACCCTCCTGCCAGCAGGTTGCTGGGGTATTGTACCAAAGTGATTCTGATGCCATTGTCACTATTCTACCTTCGCGCTCTGGGCGTTTCCCTAACGTAAACTAAAGACCTCACCTGGTCAAATTGTCCGATTAGCCTCTAATAATTCCCTCGACGCAGAGTCAAATAGATTCTGACTGGCTTTGACATGATCGCTCTGTACTGCTTTAAGTATCAGCAAGGATGGGCGGCTCGGCCGAATTCTCGGCAAGGTTAGGGACGAACCCCACTTACCTGGATATTTGTCCGTAATTCTCAACAGATTTATCATACTAGTTGTTTACATTATGTTTTATTTCGTGTGGCCGAGGGACCGCGGGTCACAGCGCAAGGTCTTTCTCTCAACTTGACGACTGCGATTGATCACGCACACAAAAATAGACTAACGGGCTCAAACACAACCAAAGGGCGCGTAAGGCGTAGAGTCCAGAAAAAGGCCCAAATCGGATTCTACCGCAGAACCTGTTGTTGTTTCACTTCTTGTGTTGGAGTATTGCCAAAGAAGGATTCCATTTGTAGGTTGTACATATGACCATGATGGTGGTAATGGTGATGATGACGACGATGATATGGCATGATGCGGTTTTATGGGAAATCTTCGTAGCAAGCCAAAAGAAGTGCTGATGGGTGATTAGAACCTGTGATCGTCCTTAAATGGAAGAATATATTATACCCTGTAGTGGATAATTGGTCTGTTAGTGAAATACCAGAATGTAGTCCTGTCACAAAACTGTTTTGTTAGCGTACTCAGTGACGCACACCCCCACCCCCACCCCCTCTCATGCCGCTTGCGGCACCCTCACACTCCCCCAGGTATTCCAAAGGAGTTTCTATGCTGTAGTTGATTCGGTTCACCGCCCCAACTTGATCATTTAAAGCCAACAATTTTTCATCATCGGCACCGAATCCAGCGGTTCTATGTATGCAACGAATTAAAATAGTGAAAAGTATAATGCCTCTCTCTGACACTAAGCCTCCTTTCTCAAAGGTATTTATTTTATGATGCCAAAAGATGAATCAATCCGTCCTGAAATAATGATTCTAATGCTTTGTCCAATCTCAGATTCTGATCGTCGGAGCGGGTCCGTCTGGGCTACTTCTGGCTATTTTGCTAGCTCAGAGAGGTATCCCATCTATCGTTCTTGAGGCGTGGGACCGACTTGATGAAAGGCTTCGAGCGACACAATACGGCGTGCCCGCGACCAGAATCTTCAAACGGGCAGAGGTGCTTGACGACATCAGAGCCGTCAGTATCCCCGACTTCCCTGAGATCTCATGGCGACGAGGATGTGATCTCGTAAAGCTCGTCAGCGTCGACATGTCAGTCGTCAAAGATCATCCAGAACGCATGACGGTCCTGCCGCTCAACCAAATTCTAGAAATAATGTACAGACATCTGATAACAAAGTACCAGTATCTGGTGGAAGTCAAGTTCAATCACCGGGTTGTCGATGTAGGACATGACGAGACAAAGGCTTGGGTTCGAGTAGAAGAACCAGAGACGGTACACAAACAGCAGTGTCTGTGGGAAGCTGACTACGTGATTGGATGTGACGGGGCCTCAAGTGCGGTCAGGAAGGCATTGTTCGGTAGAGATTGGCCAGGGCAGACCTTCGACTGTCAGCTAATGGTACAAAACGTACGTAATTTGCATCTTCTTCTGACAAGGAAATTTCAAATTGCTGAATGGTAGAATTTCTAAAGGTTTTCTATGATGGATTTGAAAAGCACGGTTGGCGTGGTGGCAACTACATCATAGATCCGGATCATTGGGGGCTTGTCACCAAACGAGGGAACGGAGGTCTCTGGCGTGTCACTTACGGAGAAGTAGATGGACTGAGCGAAGAAACATATTTGCAGCGACGGCCAGCGCGACTCAAAGGTATTTTGCCTGGGCTCCCCGACCCGAGTGAATATAAGATACATGAGACTAACATATATCGCATCCATAATCGATGCGCGAAATCGTTTCGAGTCGGACGAGTCCTATTGGCTGCTGATGCTGCCCACGTTTGCAACCCCTGGGGTGGATATGGCTGTATGACTGCCTGTGTGGATGTAGGAGGCCTTGCAGATTGTCTTATCGGATATTACGAAGGTAAATGCGACGAGAGTATTCTGGATTTATATGCCCAAATACGACGTGAGAAATTTTTGAAGTACGTTGATGTGCGATCAATCAAAAACATGGACCGAATCAGCAAGACGAATCCGAATACAGTTCTCGAAACTGACAATTTCATGGCATTGCTCAAGGACTTGGAAGGGGATACCAAGAAAACGAAGGATTTTCTTCTTGTAAGATGTCTTGTTTCGTGGGCCAAGTGATAGGTGCTAACTGTTCGCTTGGATTAGAAATGGTCCAGAATTGAATATGACTTCACTCAACATTACCGGTGTGATATAAAGTGATCGCGTCTATTTTGGCTCAGAGAACTTATGCATGCTTTGATTTTCAAATTATGCCTGCTTTACAAGGTGATAGGGAAATGGATCTCCTGCTCGCTCGTTCTATAAAAGCCCCGGTATTTCGAGGAGTCCAATTTTGTGCAACCTTTCGTAGTACCGTGCTCAGCCCATTGACACAATCAGAATGTTATGATATACAGGGCAGGGTATATCAACCTGTCGACTAGATAAGGGAGGAAGCCAAAGGCAGGACGGATGGGGCTAAGGATAGGGACTGGATTGGATACAAGACTGATCCTTGAAGGATCAGGAGTAGGTACAGTACAACCCCGCTTGAAATAACCCAAGGGTCGATAGCCAATCTGCGGGGTATTGATGCCTAATCCCGTTTAGTCATGTCCAAAGATAACGTAACTATTCAATCGTCTAGCTGGCAGTCCTACATTCCATGCAAAACAGCGAAATTTAGTCCTGCGTAAGGTGTGGATTCGCGGGTTTCCGTTGGCCGACTTTGCGTTCGATAATACTAAACAGGCTCTAAGACTTGGCCAGATATCGAAAAGAGACCAAGGATAAGAGACCAGCATACAAGAGAACATCGATAGTTATATATTAAGAATAAGACTCATTCAACGGGTAGGTAAATAAGTCTTGAAATAATTCCTCAGCAGCCGCAAGTAACGTATAATCCGCTGGACGTTGCCGCAAAATCTCCGCACCAAAGCGTCGGCGCGCACGCCAAATCATTTCTATCGAAATATTGGCTGTATTTTGTGATAAGACAGGCAAGAGCACATGCAAAGTGACACACCACCCATCCCGTCATGCTCGCCCAGACTCGGGAAAAACTCAAAGTCGATAGCGAAAATTTGGATTCTCTTTGTCTGTTAGATCATGAAATGCTGTTGCTGAAGTTACTGCTTCATTCACCGGTGCAAGAGCATCGCGCCTCTGGTTCTCATGGCGGAGGTAGAAGCACAAAATTATAATCAGGGCTATAGCTAAGCAAGTCAAACTGATAATAATCTTGAATGCAGTCGGGTAATGTTCTTCTGTTTGAACGGTGAGAACCGTCAATGGCGCTATACCATTTGACGCACAATAGGCCACCCACATCAATCCGGCGGTTGTCGCTTTTTTCGTATGACCTGCGGTGTTGACGCTGATGATTGATAACACCATGACGTGAACAGCCGGGAAAAATCCCAATAAGAATAAACCCCAGAGGGGAACTGCCTTGTTAACCCAAGTCGACTTCCAGATCATCACCGACCCGGTAATAACTGGCAAGCAGCAGAACGCAGAACATATACCGCGCATATCACGAACGAAAGCTGATACTAGACTGTTATCCGACTGTTAGTCATGTTTCTTGCTTCCATTCACCATATTTCCTTCTCCCTCACGCAATATACGTACCCGGTACTAAGTAGGGTGAGAAAAACAAAAACTCCTACCACTCCTAGCAGTAATATAGATTTAAGCTCTGTATAGCCAAAGCTCGTCGTGATCACAGAGCCGAAACCTCCTAGAGCTCCGTTTGTCATGTTGATTGAAAAGATAATAAGTACGGCCAGCCAGTTTTTCAGGTCCAGGAAGCCTTCCTTTATTTGGTAAGGCTTGATCGATTTGTTTTCGATACCTGTCAGTTCGAGCTTCATCCTCTGAACGGCGATTCTTCTGAGCTTCGGACTTAAAAATCGAGCCTTGAGGGGGCTGTCTGGTAGCAGAATCATAACAACCAATCCCCATACGGAAGTAATGGAACCAAGTGTCATGAACTGGTATCGCCATGGTGATAGGCGACCATGTATGTGTCCAATAGCATAAAGAATCAATGTGCCAACAAGGGTTCCAATCCCGGTAGAAGAATACCAGATTGCGAGTCTAAGAGGTTGCTCCTCACGTTTGTACCACATTGCGGTAATCAGAGAGAAGGCTGGAGCTACCGCTGCTTCGGTAAACCCCAGGAAAAATCTTTTGGCTCGCAGTCAGAATCCCTCTTTATGTTAAAACAGTAACGAATTGCACTAGGCTTCCACTAACCGAAGAATAAGTAAGCCCGTGTATGATTGGATGGCGACAGTACAAACTGTGACTCCTCCCCAGAGAAAAATCATAACCCCGACGTACTTTGCAATAGGAAGTCGCTGGCTAAAATACACTCCAGGGATAACTAGCTTTCTATCAACATAGATCCCCGAGAAGGCCGCATAAACATCGTATCAAGGGGAAGGACTCACCACCAACTAAGTATCCCCAAAAAAAGATGAGGGTGGTATAAGAATACCTCCTCAGATCCATTGTCGGTTGGCCGTTGACCTTTGTGATAGTAAACAGATCAAGATCCTCGATAATTCCAAATAAGGCAGCACCAGTCAAACATGCCTTGTCCATGTATTGGAGCCCAAATGTGATGAACATTACTGGCAGAAGCATCCAGTCAATTCTTCGGAGACACAATTTGTCATCCTGTGGAGTAAGAGGGTCATGATCACACTCCAGTGTAAATTGGGCTCCAATATCTTCGTTGTGCTGGACGTCATCCTTGGGGGGTTCCATTGCGAATGAGACTATTTTTCTGCGGGTGTTCATTGACAAATTTAGCTTTCACAGCCCGACTGGAGTTCTGACGATTGACTGTCAAATAAATATTCCGCAATCACAGCAATTTGAGCGAATTTCGCTCGAGGTAGCGCCAATCGCTATGATGTCAGAACCACCGCCCGTACATAAAGGTAAGTGGGGAACTCTGGGAAACTTTAATATTTGACGAATGGGATGACGCCTTTCTCATCCGCACTGCTTGAGGCCGAAACCTCCGTTTTAGCGGACGATCGCGTTTAAACAAGGAGACTTAGATTGTGGTTATTCTGGTTCGAATCGAATTGTCTGGAAGTCAGTTGGCAATTAGTCAAACTTTACATGCATGTTTATCGAAGCCTTGATTGAATACGTTAAATGAGCATATATCTCCTTTGCTACAGAGTTTGGGTTGATAATTTAAAGAGCAGCTGGGAAGCGGTTTCACCCGTTGTACTGTTAAAAATTCATGTCACATTAAGAAATTTGTAGGTGGGGTCTATGAATTGAAGCTTAGATGAGCTGAGTGAGTTCTCCGAGGCTGCAGCAGTGTGTTACGACACAGGGCTTCTGATACTAGTCCGGTCCACAATTTGTAATCACAAGATGCGCTCAGATGCTACACAATTGTCTCAAACCGATACGGCGGTATTTCGCCATTCCCCTAGTGCAGTGGATCGTTTCCATGTTCGTCTTGGATAGTCTGTTGGGAGAATAGAACATTCTCTACAGAATGACTGACAAAGGGGCATCTCCCTGGTTAGCCCGCTTATCATGCCAGAAACCCAATTTTCTTCTTCTGTTAGCTAATTACGCTCGTGCCGTCGACTACAGTTATTCTTATTCAATAGCGGAAGCTTGCTAGCCGTATATGCCTGGTTTGCAGTGCTAATTCCGAAGGAGCTGAAGTTTTCAAATAGCCTTTGTGTGTACAATAATAATAACTAATAGTAGCCGTAGACTCATCCTACGACATGCACAAAAAGGCTGAATATTAGGCAGTAAATACCTCCGAGTGTCATCACCATCTGACTCCCAGTTCCTGTGGACGGCGATGGATGAGAGGAGCCAGTACCAGTTGTCGTAGCTATAACAGTAGCAATAGCACCTGCACTCGTAGCCACACCCGTTGCCGCACTTGTACCATCACTCGTAGTCGTAGTCGCTGCAGAGCCATCAGGGCCAGAAGAGGTTGTAATAGTGTTTCCGGTGCTTGTTCCAGTCACGGTCTCAGTTGGTAGTGGGTGACCAACCTTGAGACACTCAGACAGCATGATGCTGGAGACCACTGGTTGCACATTATTAGCTGTGGTGCCTGAAGAATTGAGGAAAGGACGTCTGCTCAGTTACCGGACGCGGAATTTAGAGGGCACGATTTGGATACGCAAGGAGAGATTTGCGACAGAATGTTTGGGACTTGGCAATGGCAATTGAAATCTGCTAATCCCGAACACCCATCGCTGCCAAGAGCGCTGATGAAACACTGAGCCTGCGGAAAATTAGCACACGTTCACGGTCCATCCAGTTGAAGAACCTAGTAAGATTTGAACTGACTGAGCACGCTGGAACAACTGGGAGTTGAGCTAGGGATCCCGGCAAAAGCCATAGCAAGAGAAGAGCTTCTTTAAAATGCATTTTGAAAAATAATAAAAGTAAGGTGATATTAATTGAGTTGGCAACCCAAAACACAGAGAATGTGCTTTGTAAATCGAATAATCTTGCGACTCTAGAGAGATGGGAGGGATTGTCCGTATTTTATAACCGCGGTATAATTCATAGCACAAAACGACCATTGTGTTTCCTGTTAACTAACCGACTCCTTTGTTGCTCTATACTCCCTACAACCACCAGGGAGAGCTAAATTACCGCCCTGCGATATTCGCGATTTCAAGCGATTTTCGCCCCGCGTGTTGGGTAAGTCCGATGTCGATCTTGTATGGGGCTACGTCTCCCACGTTTAAAAACCTGTCATGCACTGTAAGTCTCTCAAGGATTTCCGAATGCGAAGGTATCATGCCCCACTGGTCACACCTACCCCACTTTAGGTGTTGGTGTTCCCTCTGTTATTTTCAACCCGAATCCAAACTTCTCAATTTAACCTACTTTAAACTATTTTCGCTCTAAACGGTCTCTTATACCAGGGTTCGACGACATGAATATCCCTTTCTTTATCATTTACCATTCCACTGTGACCCTGCAAATTCTAGGTGTTATCAGAGCTCTCTGAAATCCGACGATTGGGCGGTTCGCTCCGTGAGCTTGCCATTCCCTCCATACCTTCCGAATTGTAGCAGCCCTTTCCTCCTCAGAACGATGCTCAATTAGGCGTTTAGCCCAGCCGGCGTTTTGTATACCACCAGAATTGAGTCGCGTGTTTGGTCTGGTCCTGCAGGCGGCGATTGAACTTATGCGGCTTCCTCGCCAATCATCAGGTGTAAGCGCAAACTTTAAAGCTCCGTGGGTTGTCATTTCGGACTGTGCCTGGCGGGGTATTCCCTGGTGTATTCGTACCCTTGAAGCCAGTGGTGGTGGGGCTCCAACGAAGACTTCGAGATCAGGAGCGGCCGGAATCTTCTTCAGAAGGATACCAAGTGCAACATGTAGAATTAATAGCCAACCTGTATTCTCGAAGGCGCCTCGGATAATTCTCTGTATGAATGTCTTCTCACGAGTCTTCGGAATCCACGATATGAACTCTGCCTTACCAGAACCCCACTACGGCGAAAGCTCGCTGTTCTATGCGCAATAGAAGGTATTATAGGCAAGAAATGGCTGGCACTCAAGCGGTTGAATAGAATGGCTATGTGATAGGAAAGGGAAGGTAATAATGCCGAGGGCTTCACAAATTCCATGAGGTCAAGCGTGCAATGGGAACCATGATTATCCATTAACCGAGGCCGTTTTCCGCCTCTCGAAACGCAATTGTTTCGTGTTTAAGTGGGAAAGCCGGATCCAATTAAAGCCGAGCTTATAATTTGACAAGCCTAGAAAAGGAGTTATGCGGTATCAACACCAGGTCCCTAAGACAACAGAACAAGCTGCAGCCGAAGCATTGATTAGCCGTCCTCGTGATGCTGAAGAGCTTGAGATGATGATCGACTTACAGACTCCTCTATACATTGAAGAAGACCTGGATGATTATAAAATTACGTGATATCTAGCAAAGGGTCAGTATTCCTCGTGCTCTGTACTCTTAATTAGTCTTCCTTCATACTAACTTAGGTCTTATTGTTATAGATAAGATTACTATGTGCGCTACTATATGTATCGGTCCTGGGTATGTCTACTTTGAGGGTAGACATAGTTGTCTTTTGGCCCAAGTGTACAATAATGTGACCCAGGCATGATTCGTGACACTTAGGGGGTTATAAAAGTTAATCCAATGGTCTTTTGGAAAGAGCATGAACACGAGTGTCCAGAACTTTCAAAGATGGCCCGGAATATCCTCTCTATTCCTGCTAGTGGTTTTGGTGTCGAGTGTCTCTTTAACTGTGCCGGTGATATCTGCCACTATCGTCGGGAAACCGAAAAGCAGAGACAATCAAAGAACTGATACTCTATATATGTTCATCAAAGTTCGAGTGAAGGAGTACCTCTCCGCTGGAGAGGCTGCTATGGTTGATCAGGGAAGAATGTGTGTTCTATCGATCACTGATATCGAACCGATTAGTGATAACGAAGACGAGGATAACGAAGACGAGGATAACGAAGGAGATGACGAGTCGGAGGATGAGTCAGAGAATGATGAAGAGGATGAGATATCTCTTGATCAATCTATGACCCAACGTAAGGAAGCACAGCGAAAGCGGCCTCGGAAGAGGATCTCTGAGGTCCTGGATGATATAGGGAGCCTCTAACAGAAGATCCTAACAAAGCGGGCCAATAGGGCCGCCAGAAAATCAAGACGGCCCCGACTTTTTTAAGGCTTTATGGATTATGGTCGTGGCGAGGTCTAATCATGTGGCCCGGGCATGATCCGTAACAACATGGTTGAGAATTGATATTGTCGAGATATGGAGCGGTAACTTACCGCTTAGGCAGGGGTTATACTGAGTGACACACTTTCCTTTGTGTTTTGTATAGTAATTTGGTTTCTTTGGCATTACAGTTGTCGTGATAACGTATTGCCCGAGCGACCGAATTGACCGAGCGGCCCCACTAAAAACCCATCTCAAAAATAACATATCTTGTCTACCACATTAATCATGCCCCCCCAACGGTCTGATCGAAAAAAAAAAATTAATAAAGCAGGAGGGCCGTCTTTTATTAGCTATGAAAGCTATAAAATGTGGTAAATATTCTATAGGTCAATAATTCGAGGGTCCTCTAAAAATGCCCTCTAATAGTCGTATTTTCGAGATAATCGTGTGGATAAATTTAGATATCGTTTAACAAAGTAAGATACCTAATCTCTACTAACAGTAGAGGGGGTTATTTTGTAGGCATAAAGGTGTAAATTGGACATATCTCTTAACATAGGCAGTGTAAGAGCAGCACCTCTGGTATCTATATCTGTGAGCAAGCGATGCTGCGCAGGTAGGTAGAGAGGAAGAAGAAGATTGATTGATCTTCTTCCTCGATTGAATAGGAAGGGTAAACTCAATTCGGCTTAGAATCATAAAGGTAAGATGAGAGAAAAGTGAGGTAGGACTGAAGCTTGGTTGATTGTATTGAATCTCTTGTTCTATGTGTATTCCACATGATTATTATCTTGGTAGAGAAAGCAGGGCATATTTATAAACAATCTTTTATGCAAACTTATCAAACTTGTTTCTTGCATGTGATCGTTCTAGATAGATCCTACAAAGATCTAGATGCATAGTGATCTCATGCAGTAGCTGTTTGATTGGTGGTTGCTTGATTGTACGATGTCATTGACCGTAGTGATGATGGTATGGCATAAAGCTTATAGAGATTCAGCCATCTTGTATAGGCTTTATGAATCTGGCTTGATATGCTGCAAGATGCCCCATATCTTACAGTTTCTTATCGGGAGATATATCAAACACCATCCTACCAGATAGATTTCTCTTCCATTTTCTCCTCAATCTTGATACTTTCGTCAAATGGCACAAGTTGATCCCTGATTCTACTTCCAGAAATGCCAACTGGAGGGAGTGGTACGCACGTACAGTCGGGAAGGATTCGAGAGAAGCCAAAGTGCCAGAGGGATTCGAGATTGGTACTCTGTAACTACTGTAATTAAAGTTTAATAGTATAAGCCAGAACCTATGATCATCGATGCACTACGCAAATAATTACATACTCAATGCCCAAATATTCAGGCAAAACTGCATAATTTATGCAGTAACGAGTAGGTCACGAGTCTACGCATGTTTGTACTTTTTACAATCCGCAAAATATCCAAAGATATCGTGCGGATGCTGCTGCTGCTTAGTTCTAAGCCGAGACGGAGAAGGGAGGAACAACAAAATTGCCGTCAACATGCCATCGCGCAAACAAACCAAAAAGTGGACTGAATATCTAACGATTATTACGCATCGTCCGCCTGGTGCATCCGGACAGTAACTACACCCGCCGGGAAGCTGGTCAAAGTCACGCCGTAACGAATCTTCCGGCCAGGGTGGAATCCTGAATCTGGTCGAAGAGTTGCAGTAGGCGGACCAGCACATAACCAGCCTCGGTGAGGGCGAACTGCTCACGAAGGCAGATGCGGGGACCGCCGTTGAAGGGAATGTACTCCCAGCACGACTTGCGGCTCAGCCACCGGTCCGGTTTAAAAGCGTCGGCGTCAGGGCCCCGGATGTCCTTGCGGCGGTGAATGACGTGAGTGCTATAGACGATAGCCTATCCCTTCCAGACGAACACAGGGGACTGGCCGTCCGGCCCACCGCCGCGTGGCAGGGTTGTGTCCTGAGTAGCGGAGCGACGGTTGAACGGGACCACGGGGAACAGTCGAAGAGACTCGTTCATGCAGTACTGGAGGTAGTTGCAGGACTTGAGCGAGGCGAAGGTGATGTTCTGCGGGGAAGAGTAGGTGCCGAAGGTCTCAGGGTGGTGTGCCAGCATCAGAACGGTCCAACTCAGCAGCGAAGTGGTGGTGTCTCGGCCAGCGAGTAGGATGTTCAGAAGTTGGGAGCGTATCTCAATTAGGTCACGAGTTGTAGCGACTTGGGCATCAAGGAAGACGTACTGCCCCTTCTCTTCGCCCACGCGCTTCTCATTTGGCACGGCATTCAGAGCCTTGTCCACGAACTTATCCACGAAGGCGTGCACTTGCTGGTCTGAGTACCGGGTCTCCTTGTTATCCGCGAGGAATGATAGCTTCTCAAAGCGAGATCGTTGGGCGCACACCCACTGCGATTTCTCGAAGTAGTAGGCGAACGAACCCTCGGGACGCTGCAGACCACGCAGCGCAGCCAATTGGCTCTCAACGCTTTCACCAAAGAAGAATTCCGTGACTGAGTCAATCGTCATCCGGAAGAAGATAGTCTGGATATCCGTTGCGGCAGTCCACCTGTTTGGCAGCAACAGGCGACGCCTGCATCGCCTTTAGCACATGTACTTCCTCCAGGTCAAGCTGACTGATCTGTTCACAAGTGAATTGAGGCCGCAGCAATCCACGCCATTCCACTCCATCGGCGGTGAACTACACAATTACTGGTTAACGTCTTCGTCTCCCGCGTCTCCCCGGTTTCCCAAACAATCATGTGACTCACAATTCCAGTACCTAGGAGCGGGTACATGCTATAGCGACGATCCTCCCCGAGCTCAAAGTCCTTAAACTGAATAGCCAGCAGGGCTTGAATATTCTTGAGGTCGATCGTAAAGATAAGATTACGCCCGAGGTTGCGCACTACGAAGGTAGTGACATATCGCTTCTCAAGATCGCTCATGAACTGGACACGGCGCTCCGACAGCTCTGGCAAGAGCTTTTCTTTGTCGGCAGCCAGCGACTGTTTCAGATTGTCAATTCCGATGGGGTAAATATCTGAAAGGCAATCTCGGTCATGGCTGTAAATATCTTAGAGCAGGACTTGATTCAATTTCTAACGCTGATACCAGATTTACCACCTAAATCAAGATACGACAGTATTCCGGCCTTATCACAAGGTTAAGTAAAGATCATGGAAGGACTATAAGTTGAAGGTCCGAGTTTGCTTTTATGGGAGTGTGGTATATCACAGTAGAAAAAGAACATCATGGATTTACACAATAGTGTTAGCTTACATATCACTTAATTGTAAGGAGTCAGAAGGACTCATATATAAACAGAATGTAAACGTTCGGACTGTTGGATATTTATTGACCTGAACAACCCATCACTGTTTATGATGGCTGGTGGGCTGACTACGTGTAAATGCGTAGAGATTGGTTGGATGATATAAAACTAAAAATCTCACTAAATGACAGTTGAGCTGTGCGGATAATAGAAAACATCACCTAAATAATCTACATTGGTGATCAGTACCATAGCTGTCCATCAATCCAACTTCATAATAATACAGCTAACCTCCTAGATACCGTTTGAGTAGGCCCTTGAACGGATTCCAGAATTCCTTTTGTTTTGTGCACTCTATATGGCCTCCGTAGTCTGTGTGGATGGGCTTGACCTCACAGATTTATTGTCAACCTCATTGTTGACTTTCTTCTGTCGGAAAAAATTGAAGTCGGCATCATGCCATGTGCCTCTGAAGCCGATACCAGGATGCAGAATGGTTGAGCACAGACACGCAGTCCCAACCATCGCTCCCTCAAGAGCCATAAACGTGGGTTGGTTATTCGCCAATGGTCCGTGGAAACCCCCTGAAAGCTCAGCCACACGGAAGCAGGATCGGATGAATATCGTAAGCGTAGTGGCACCAAGACCCCATAAAAAGGTCTTGAAAATGATGCTTCTGAAAAGCATCCCGTTGTGCATATTCCAGCCGGAGCGGTTTTGCCGGACGCGAAGAGCAAAGTCACCGCAAAGCAGCCCAAACAGTGCGAGGGAAAAGACCTGGAAGGCGAGGCCGGCAATCATAATGTTAATTCCCATCTGAGTCTAGCCAGAAAGCGAGTGTTAGTCCTGCCGTACACGTTTCTACCTGAGAGCACTTACCGTATTAGCATCATTCGCAGTAGATGCAATAGCACCGCCGATGGCCTGGAGGAGGAGTGATATGAAGTCACAGGTGCAAAACAATATAGTGTAAACCCGAGGCGGGAAGCGACTGATATGTTCTCCGTAGACCACAACGATACGTGCGAGACAAAGGTAGATACCAGCTGATAGAAACGCTGGCGCGATAGTCAGGCACACGAGATAAATTAAGAAATTGTTCTTGCTGAACGGGTTCGAGTGCATCATGATGCGGCCGACATATCCAATAACCTCACCGACCAAACCAAAACAAGCCGCGATCAAATAGCCCCATGTTTTATACTTGGCACCAAGACCGACCTGTGCAATGATACAGAGCCCAAAGAGAGTGGCGAAGAAAGCGTTGCCGCCGAGGCTCGGAAGATAGGTAAAGTGTGCGAGGGTGAGGTCGCAGAGCGACAGAGTACAAAGAACGTCGGAATTCTCGCACAGAGTAACATTTCCATAGCATTTTCCGTCATGTTGCGAAGTAAGATTCATGCCGGGCCAGAACGGGGTCAGGGCATCCAAATGAGAGTTGTTTAATGCCATCGGGAGTATGCAAATGGAGGATCGGATATGGGCGGAGAGCAGGGGGTAGAACAGTGAGCAGAATGTCTGAAGGGAGGGAGTAGGCGCAACAATCCCTAATCGATGTCTCTGTACGTTCTAGAAATAGTTCAGAAACAGATCTACGAAGAACACTGCTTAAAAGGCGAGTGTTCTTGCCTTAAGTACACCAGCAAAGCGGAAATCGCTCTTGGCGGCGGGATCGGCCTTGGCGCAGGCATCCATGAATTCTGAGCGGACGGTAACCAATCAGGTGGATCCATGAGGGAGCCGCACTAATACTCCCGATTTCCGCCTCTCCAAGCGAGTGTCGCTCGAACGCAATGCTAAATTTCAGTGAACTTTAGGAGGGCTTGTTAATAATCAATAGAGGCTTAGACATTCTATTTTAATAACTTAGATCAAAACAGCAAAGACTCCGAGAAGCATTACGTATCTCAGCACATGTGTTGACACCGTGGAACATAACGGTGCCTTGACTACTCCGTAGACTGCGGCATATGCAAGTCCAGCTGACGATATCAAACAAATATCGAAACTGGCGTAAATCTCACCAGTTTATCCCACTCCAGACCATCTAGTGACATCTGGGAATTTATAGGGACAAATCAGCTTCTGCTACAGTAGAGACAGTGAATTGTTAGGGACACCATTCTCTTTTGTTAGCGTAATTCCTAAACGAGTGGCCCACCGCAAATTACATAGCAAATGAGATGGAATTCAACTTAATAATAGCTTAATTTGAAGTTGTGCTGCAGGTCAACACCATTGTAGTTAATCTAGAGCATTAACAAGGTCTATCATTATTATTAGGGAGGCTGGTTGGGAGATATGTGTCTTGGCTCACACTATGTAGAGTAATTTTCGGTAACGCTATGATATGACATGATATGTATATGGAATTTTCAGTGAAACAGATTATTGCTCGTGCCAAGAAAGACATACTGTCGACTTGGAGTACTTTGGTAAGGGCTAGTACTCATCGGCCCAAATGGATCGTGCGGACAGTGTGGTTGAGCCTGGTAATTAAATTAAAGCTTACGATCGGTTGAATAGATCCTCAGGTGCTACATATCCGTGTTACGACGCAATACTTCCGAGATGACCCGGTTTACCATAGAAAATATCGGAAAGCAGATAAGGAGGACGGTGAATATGCTAGTGTTGAAGGAATGGAGCGGTAACTTCCCGCTAGGACAGGAGGATTACACATTTCCTTATGTTCTGTATAGTAACTTGGTATTCCTGCTAACTTGGCTACCGTAACACCAAGTACCAGGACTATTCAGGGGGAATTCCAACCTACCCCAGGGCATCCCCATTTTGACTGAATCAACCATCTCATTCATCTGATGCTGGTTCCGCTTGATCCCATTCGCCAATATGCATACTAGTCTATACTGTATCAGCTTACTCTGACATATTGCTATCTCACGTGTAATATATGTTTTTTAAGTCTGTTTAAAATACGGTTAATGTTTTAGTGTAAAATATAGTGACTTGGGGCAAGGGTTCAAAGTGTCTGCTAAGGAGGGTTGTTAACCTAATTAGGATGGTTTTTAATTATATAAATCAGTCGAAGGAAGTTATACGCAACTCTAGCCGCTTAAATCATCGCACTCTCGCATCGCTGTCGATGGCCTAGACCTACGATCGGGATAATGGATGATGCTAATTCGAGCTAGAAAATGGCTTCCACAGTCCCAGCACGAAATATCGGAATCCCACCTAGCTTAACAACACCGGTAGCGAATATAGGACGAGTTTACAGGAATCGTAACACGACAGAAGCAGGTTCGCGTTCGTGCGGAGCCTGTAAACACGCTAAGCGATAGTCACGGCACCGCGGCTGTTAGGATATTTTGATCCTTACTACGTTGTGTGGGAGAAATCCAGGAACCGAATCTCAGGCGATAAGTCAGATATCAAACCCTCGCAGTTAGGGCACTGAACACTTGTCGATCATGATGCAGGATAAAAGGATCGCACATAATTCTCCCTCCCAAGATTCAGTCTCTGTGACAATACGGTCTCTATGACAATACGCTCTCTGTGCTACTCCATTCCTCCTCTCTATGAATACCTTCCTAGTCGACAGGCCTTCTACCCAACAAGGCGATCCTAACAGCGGCGGTTAGATACCTGCAGGTAGACCCATCAGGTGAGCATAATCAAAAAAGCATCCGTGAGTTAACATTGTGGAAACGTACCACACACGGAGCTTGGAGAGGCGAAGCCCAAGAAGCTTACAAAAACACAGAGCTGCCCATTGCAACACGCTATAAATTTGAAGAACGCAGAATATCCACGGTGATTTCGCTTGCCGTACTAATGGTACCCGCTCGGTGGGCCCGCTGGGCTTAGGAGGACAGTCGTATAATGAATTATATGATTTGCACCGCGAACAAAATTCATCTCCTTGTAGTAAGGTATCAATTTGTATACATCATAAAAACCCTCAAGTTATGTTGGAGGTAGTTCTTAGAAGCGAGTTGTATGGACGTCCTTGACCTCAACTATGCGATCTCCAAGTATACCTCTGTCCGAAGGAGTTGAGACGGACACATCATAGAGTTCATCGTGAACGTTGAATATATGCGGCTAGTTTCCCACTCGATTCCAGGGTCCGTTCCAATACAACGAAGTAATGCGCTTCCCTTTATCATCGTTTAGTTCGAACATGCCCTCATCCCCCAATCCAAAGGTTGCACTGAAGCAGAATAATAGTACGTCGTTGGCACCAGGTCGAATTGGGACATTATTCACTTCCTCGGGTGATAAGAGCTTAAAGGTGTCATCTTTGTTGTATGGAAGCCCACTAGAGTATTGTTGTCAGGTCAGAGTAAAATACGGGGAGGGTTGGAGATACACGAGACATATTAAATTCACGACGATGACAATGAATTGGCTCAAATTATTCTTGATAGTAAGTGAGAGACCTTGGGTCACTTGATGATCCATCAGTGGTCCGTATTAGAAAGTCAAATTGTTTGTTGGATAAATATGCTTCTAGGCCTAGAGTTTTGTGGGAATGATTACAAGCAAATTTAAGTCAATTGATGTACATCTATGACCTTTCCACCATTCGAGAACGGCCCAGCTAAGCCTCGCACTATTACGCGTCTGCCTGACTTCTAGACTGATATCGAAGTTGTTCGGATCGTATGACATGTGTCTAGCAAAGAAATTCCTCATCGTTCCTGGTGGTTCTCGAACCAGGATTTTGCAAGGCATCCCAACCAGTGAATTCCATGGGCGGCCAGGGAATGCCGAACATAGACCCACATATCTGACGGCGGTGCCAGAGATCCATAATGTTGGGTTAAACACAGTGCTTATGTTCCAGGAAAGTTTGTGTACGTTCAAATTCCTGCCAATTTCCCAAAACGAGAAGACCCTGGAACCAGCCTAGGTCCGGCTCACCAACCATTTTGAAGCTGGATGTCATTCCTCACCCCATCTCTATTTTGTGAGGCAAATTGAACAGTCAGGGAGCGCGCAGTATTGTGATCCTTGAAATTACGGTCAATTGCAACGAGAAGTGGGTTAGATAGCGTCCCGGAAGGCAGCTAAGTCAAGAAATGATAATCGGCTATGGTTTCAAAAAAACATAAAATAAACTTGATGTCCTACGGAAGGGAGAAATACCTCTTGTATTTTGGATCGGGACGAAGGGATTCAAGACCAGAGGGTCCATCATAAATCGCTTGTTCTACCAATGGACGGTTAATGTGGTCAGGTACATCTGTTGGCGCCTGCCCTTCCCTTCCAACTAGAGTTTAATAATGTTTAGCATAAAGGCGTACGCACAAGCTGCTTTCGCAGCTGATCTGGTCTATGCAGGCTATGTAGCGGCCTGCAAATTTGGTCTCGTCGGCCAAGGCTTTAAATGCACATTAGTTTCGTTCTTTTCATGAAATTAACCAGCTTTCTTCTTCCTCCTGATTGTCATTTTTACAACATCTTCGCTGCTGACGCTTAAGATACAAAGCGACCTTAGGATCAGTGGCATCGGTCATCAACCTCATTATCTGGCTGCATGCCTTCGTACTAGTCTCTGCTCCACTGCCCCTTGCTGCCTTGTCCGATTGTTATTTTCCTTCAATGCCACAGTTTGAACGTATCCGTCGAAGCCTACATGGGGTCCTCCTTCACTTCCCTTACTCAGGGCCGTAAGGTAAGGTTTGGATCATGTCAATTTATTCCAAGATGTGTCATAATGGCGTATATTGGGGGATGAGGGTTGTCTCTTAACGGGGGATAAGCGACAATCGCCCAATGGAGCGACAATCGGCCAATAGAGCGAAGATCGGCCACTCAAGCGAAATTCGGGTAACTGATGCAAACCTTAATGCCCAAGTCTGGACGGCGCTGGCTGAGACATTTTCCGCTTAAGAAAAATAGCCGGGCAGAGTCCTCCACTTCATTCGTATTTAGTTCAATGTTGATACCGATGCTTTCTCACTCTCCAGAACTCCCATCATTGTCGAATCTGCAGATAACTGAAGATTGACAACAGCAACTATGGCACCTTCGAGAGTCACACAAGAAATTAAGATCTTGACGCCTGTGGGCATGATCGGATATGGTTTTAACGAACGTCTGTTCTGGAAAGCCGTTGCAGACGGAGTTGATGCCATCATCGCGGATTGTGGTTCCACAGATAGCGGCCCGCAGAAACTCGCCCAAGGCAGTCTGACCATGACAAGAGAAGCGTACGTTCACGACCTCAACATTCTCGTGGCTGCATGCTCAGCCTACCACGTCCCAATCGTGCTTGGTTCAGCAGGTGGCGACGGTGCCAACGAGCATGTTGCTCTTTTTCTTCAAATAATAGAGGATCTTGTTGAGCAAAAAGGATATCGGTCGATGAACGTGATAACTATTACTTCTGAGATCGATAAGAATTATATGGAGGAGAAATTCTCGAACGGGGAAATTTTACCCTGTTCGAAAGCGGTGCCTGAATTGACATTGAAGGATATTCAAGATGCTACAAGAGTGGTTGGACAGATGGGCTTAGAGCCATATGTCAAGGCGATGTCAGATTATCCAGATTTTGACATTATCATCGGCGGGCGAAGTTATGATCCTGCTATGTATGATGCCTATCATGATATGAGTTTTCAAAGTGAACTAATTTGAGCCTGACAGGTACGCAGCTTACTGCATTCACCGTGGAATTGACGATCTCGGGATTTCCTATCATATGGGAAAGATTATGGAATGTGGCGCGCTGTGTTCAAAGCCGAAAAGTAGGGAAGCGCTGGCTATAGTACGACCCGAAAGTTTTGATATCATACCGCTCGACCCTGCATCTCACTGTACTGTGCTGTCAGTGGCGGCTCATACCCTATATGAGAAAACCCGTCCAGATGTGCTGGTAGGTCCAGGCGGAGAACTCCATCTGGCATCTGCCAAATACGAAGAGCTGGAGGACGGTCGGACTGTCAGAGTGTCAGGAGGAAAATTTGTTCCCGTCAATCCGGGAGAATACACCATCAAGGTCGAGGGCGCTAGAGTCAACGGATACCGATCTGTCTTTATCGGAGCATTCCGTGACCCGATTCTCATCTCACAAATTGATGGCTACTTGGAGCGAGTCCAAGCGTTTGTTAAGACTCAATTCTCTTTTGAGTACGAGTTGAAACTGCATAAGTATGGTGTGAATGCTGTGATGGGGCCTCTCGATCCGGGCGAAGGGGCAACCCCGAAGGAGATTTGTCTTTGTGGAGAAGTACGGGCTCCCACGCAGGCACAGGCCAATCAAGTGGCTAACATGGCCCGGATTGCATGCATCCATGCACCTTACCCGCACCAGTTAGCAACCGCCGGGAATTTTGCCATGCCCTTTGCCCCATACGATATTCCTCTGGGCCAGATCAGCGAATTCAACGTGTACCACCTTCTGCAGAAGGCAGACCCGATCGGTTTGTTTCCTATCACATACCAGACAATCCATGGCACAGGAAAATTTACCCATCAGGAAGTCACCGTGAATGAAATGGAATCCATTTCGCTGTCGTCAAGAGAGGTGGACGAGGCCAAGATCAAGATTGCGAAAGCCAATGAGGAGACAGCACGTCCCTTTCTCAAACCAGATCCGCCCGAGGGATATTGTTATCTGGGAGAGATTGCCAATGTGGTACGATCCAAAAATGCGGGGCCGTTCGAGCTGACGATGGATGTGATGTTTAACGATGAAGACCTATATCAACGTGTCAAAAAAACGGGTGTCCTGTCTCACCAGACAATTAAGGAACTTTATCACATCAATGACGATGACATTATTGCATGTTTGTTCTGGGACCAGGCGCGGGCTTTCAAGGCGACAATCAAACGCCCCGTTCCTTCTGGCTCGTTTGGTCAGACAGATGTCCATGGATCGCAACAGCATGTTCCTTTGCTGTATACTTTGCTACCTATTCCACGGGCTAGAAAGTAACTTAGATGGTGGCGACCAGTAGTTTGTGTTTGCTTTGGAGACTTAATAGTGTGTATATTAAATACTCGTACTGACTGAAGTTATGCTTCGTATATATGGCGCTCGTTAAGGAATCGGCCTTGGCTGCTATGACTTGTAAATAAGCAATACTATGACAGCTTGCATTTTATTATCACATAGAATAGTCATTTGGCACTGTTGGGGATATATACTAGTTCCAGTAGAGGATATAAAGTATGTCTCCATTCAAGAGTTATTCCAATCTCCAAGTCTCCAATTCATTACATTTCCAAGCCGGGCTACTAGTCGTAGCTCATCTTCCCTATATTCTCTCTCTCTCATCAACAATGCTTAGCCTTGTTTTATGTGCTATTTGTCTGCGCGTAATTTTGGTTCGAGAAATATCTTAATGTGAGGAGAGTATAAGCGTCTACTGAAGTGGGGAAGCTCAAGGCAGTCTGGTCGGCACAGGCAAGTCGAGGCACGAGAGAGAGCAAGGGACAGTCGTAGGCGGAGGCAGAACAAACCCCAAACAGCGAAGCTGCAGTAAGAGAGGTAACAAGAGGATGGAATCGCACGGTCGGTAAACGCCCTACCAACAGTAGATCCAGCTGCCTGAGTAGAAGAATTGATGGAAACTCCTGCTCTATGAGAAAAGCTAGGAAAAATAAGAAGAAAAGCTTTATTCCGAAATCGTCCCTTGCCACTTCACTTCTGTCCTGTCTTTTCTTCATATATGCCTTCCGTTCCTCGATCTAAAGCATATGATTTCCGCTGAAATCCACCAAAACACACCGGACAAACAGACCGCAAACAAGAACGACTAAGCTAAGTAATATCACTGGATCCCCCACTACACTACGTATCTAGTCTGGGTGGGACTAATGGGCCCGTGAGAAGATATCCCGTGCGCGGGGCATGCACCATGTATTCTAGAAAGAAGATAGCGGCCTGCTTCAAAACCGGGTAAGCTTGTCGTTCGAGAAATGTTAGATCAAGGGTATCCTCGTAATGCTCAATCATGTGCGTGGCCAGCTACAACGCCCAAGTAACATTTAGTCTTGGCCCTGTTTCTGATTGGCTATATCAGGTAGTCTTCGCTTTGATTGGACCATCAATTCCGTGCGTACCTTTCCTTTTCGGGCGATTGCCCATCTCACAGGCATCGGCCTGGGCCTGATAAGCATTGGTGGTGTGTACGGGCCTAAAGGCACCAACGAGGAGCGTCTAGCTTTGCTCGATCGTGCTCATGAAATTGGTTAACACTTTTGGGACACGGCCGATGTTTATTTCGACAGTGAGGACGTCACTGGAATGTGGATTCGCAAGAATCCCCAGAAAGCTAAGGATGTCTTTTTAGCCACCAAGTTCGGTCTCTCGATCGATGGCGGTCCTATAACCATCAGCTCTAGCCCCGAGTATATTAAGACGGCTTGCCAGAAAAGCCTTGACAGGTTGGGTGTTGATGTGATCAATCTGTACTATTGTCACCGGGTGGATGGACAGACACCGATTGAGGAGACCGTTCGTGCTATGGTAGAGTTGAAAAAGTGAGCACGAAATGACTTCCTGGGCTCCTTAGCCCACTACAAAAATAGATGATGATACTATGGCTAAAGCCAGGGGAAAATCCGTGTATTGGGCCTCACCGAAGTTTTAGCAGCCACGCTCCGGCGAGCTCATCAGTCCATCCGATCTCCGCTCTTCAAATTGAATACAGTGCGTTCGCCTTGGATATTGAAGACCCAAAGGTCGGGCTTCTTGAGACTTGCCGAGAGCTGGGAATAGCAGTCGTCGCGTATAGCACCATCGGCCGTGGCTTGCTAACAGGAAGCTATATGTCTCACAATGACATTTCCCATGACCTGTTCCTTTCCGCGATCCCTCGGTTCTCAGAGTGGAATTTCCCCCGATCTGTCGCACTAGTTGGTACTCTGAATGACATAGCGGCCGAAAATGGTTGCACTGCTGCGCAATTAGCGCTAGCTCGGCTAATGGAGCGGGGTGCACACATCATTCCCATACCAGGCACACGAAAGCATCAGATATCTGGAAGAAAATATTGGGGCGCTTTCACTGGAATTGGCTTCCACAGAAGAAGTCCGCATTTCAAGGGCAGTCGCGAATGCCAATCTTCAAGGAGAGCGGTATCCAGATGGGTAAGGATATGAACACACGCCGATTGATCATACTGATCATTTGATAATTTCATTGTGGCGTTTAGACTTCCCTCGACGTACGGCTTAGGCGACACTCCGCCCCTTTGATGTGACCTGTTACACAATGCTAGATGGCACACAGTGGATCTTCAGGCACCTTGGATGAAATTTCACCCAGCATTAAGTTGGATTCTGAAAACCCATTTCATCAACCTGCCTGTTTTGCACGGGATTTACATCAATTGCTCTTTCTTGAAACTGGTTTGCAAACCTCTGCTTCCTGTACGCCGATGGGAGACTGATTTCCGGAGACAAGCCTATGGGTAGCTAATCGCGTCAATTGGTGTGACCCTGCTTGGAACTCTTGACCAGGACCTGTACCAATTCTGAAATTTTTGCTCTTTGTGTATTCCAAGGTTGTGTTCAAGCTCAAATACGATCACGGCAGCACCAGTATGATGGCCAGAGACTATCCAGTAACAAATGCTAAATCAAATCACATATGAGCTGACTTCCCAGGCCCCCTTTCCTCCGAATTCATGACGATATCGACGACACACAAGCCATCCAATGAATCTTTCGCGTGTGCCACGTTTCTTAGCCTCTCTGTCATCCTGACTAGGCCACATGAATTGAACCGAATGAAAGCGGGCGTATTCTGGACGAGTGAAGGCCGAGTTGAGATGGCTGTTTTGAGTAGTCTTGAAAGCATCTCGGGAAAACATCTCGGGAAAGCATAGGGGCGAATTGATGCTCTTCAATCGAGACAATCTTCTGAGCAAACCGTGCCAGCAGAGCTCCGGTCCACGGCCCTTCCACGTGTAGACACCTATCCAATAATAGGATGGCTTTTTGGCGAATGTGAGGCCTACGGCATTTCAAAGCCGTAAAATAAAGAGGAGGATAACATCCAATGTCCACGCTGAATGATGGATTAGAGCGACAAATGTTGGGTGACCTTCTGTTATGCTGCTTTGAACCCATCCGTGATGAAACAGACGCAGCAAGAGAAAGAAGCGCATCGGGTTGAGCAACAATGGTTTCAAATACTGTGGTATGAGAGTCGAAAATGGTCTCACGAACGGAAAAGCACGTGGTAAGGAGTATCCATATCAGATGCGAATAAATTCGAAGAGTGCGAAGAACAAGCAATTCTCGCACAGGGGCTCTCTGCATGAGTGACGACTCAGAAATTTCGAATGTTCAGACCCAGGTTTTGGCATTTGCGAGAAGAGCCTTCTTCTCTGCCAAGAGGTCCTCTAATGGGGGTGGTGGGTGGATATTTGTCGAAGAGAAGGTTCTTTCAAACCTTCTAAGCAGCCCAATTGTTTGATAAAGAATTCCATCGAGGGCGTCACTAGTCTTTAAGAATTGCCTGGGAAAAACGATACGCCGCTGACCGAAGAAGAAATCGGTAAGAGCAAATGTATCGTTCCAAATTGAGCCAGTCCCTAACATAAAAAATAGGTGATCGTCCAAGGACTGGGGCTCCTGGTACACTATAACACCTTCAGTTGTTGTCGCCCATCTGATGTTTGTATTTTGAATGAGACGCAAGAACTTGATCCCACGGCGAAAATGCGTGCTCATGATGGAGTACTCCCCGCGAAGGATCTCTACACAAAAAAACCATGCTGGAGATGGCAGCCACTTTAATAGACTTCTTGTCGTCTGTAACCTTGAGAGCGACCAAGCACCTTATCGCCTTAATATACTGGTTCATGGAAAACAGATTATTTGAGTCCATACTGGCTTTCGATCCGGATTCGTAGGGAAGAAATTGCGATCTATGAGCCGCTGTCAGCGCGACGACAGCGTGCAAAACACAAGCATCCGCGGCACATGCTTGCAGGCCCAACGAATGCCAGAACTTTGAGTCAAAAAGCCCTGAAGGCTTGAGGGTTGTCACATTGCAGAAATAGTTTAGTGCTAACCGCTCGTCTCTATTGATCCCAGGAAGCAACGTCGGGTTGTGGAAAAGTGTGGTTTGGGGTGAGCTGCCTAGTGGGCGAAAACAGGTTCGTACTCGATCATGAGTTGAAATAGATGCCGTACTCGAGAACCCGAAGCCGTCGCAGGACAATCCAGAGTCTTGACATTTTCTGCAAATAGCTTTTGCCTCGTCACATTTCACGTGTCGTATTCTGTTGACGTATTAATGCCCGTTGACAGCATTCCTTATGTTGAACAGAAATGCTAACTTGCAAGTGCGACAGCCGCTCTTCACGCGCCTTTGGCGATTGCTGGTGAGAATGACATTGCTCATTTTACCAGGCCGTCGACTGAGAGGAAATGGAGTGTCGGACTGTCTTACAGAGAGTCCGCTAACGAGAAGAGCCTGATCTCTTGGGTAGATGAAATCAGAAAGCCTGGCCAAAGAGGCGGCGTTGCTGAATGTGAGCCGGTTCCATTCTGCGCGGGCAAATTTTGTTCCCCGAACGATGTTGAATTCCAATAATGGGTCCGCTTGTTGGACATGAGCTTTACCGTACCGATTCAAGTAAAACTCCCACGTGATGCAATTGGATACTGGATCACGCATTTTGAATCAGGACACATGGAAATCCACTTGAAGCTAATGAGCTAACAAAGCCCCCAGAACATAGGTCAACCTAGGTGAGTTGAGACCTCAGGATACGGGCTCCACTTTTCAAGCGGCTTTTACCTGAGTGAGATCCCAGTACTGCTGCTCACGTGGCGATTCCCATGGACCAAACAGGTCCCACGGTCGTTCCCATCAAGATCTACACATCAACATAGCGGATATCGCTCTTGGCGGCGGAATCGGCCTTGTCACAGGCACCCATGGATCCTGGGCGGACGGCAACCAATTACTGTGGACAATAGAGTGAACCGCCCTTATGATCCCGGTTTCCGCCAGACTGAGCGACTATCGCTCGAAACCAAGGCTCCTGTCCAAGAACTCTGTGGGTTCGATGATAATCACTGCCAGTGCCTGCGACACAAAATGGTCCGCATTTGGCCCTTCCACTTGGGGCTGTTGGCTATGCGGGAAGGACGACTGGGCTGGAAACAGTGCCCGCCCATCTCATGCCGTGTTTCGTTCCATTAACGATGATGCGTGCAGAATTATGCAACTCCCGACTTACACAACCTCGACGATAGTGATAACTGGGTCGTAAGACATGCTATATTTCAATGCACGGACTCACCTGCTGTCGGCGTGGATGCGTGCCTTGCATTATCGCGCGATCTATAAATCGCCTTTATCGTATGCAGAAACCTCTGCCATACTTTTGGAGCATTTTCATTGCAGATAATCGAGAGCCTCCCAGAACAGTTTCAGAAAGCAGCCTTGTTCTATCATTATAGTCACCAGCAAAATACTGTAGCAGCCAGGTACCCTCTAGTGTTGCCTAAAACGACTGGTCTACGATGGTACTGTATTTTCATTAGTCATCCTGTGGAGGGTATAAAGCACTCCATATCTAATGTTACGGTTCCCAGTCTCCAATTTTCACCTCATTCAGGTTACCTTATAGGTATTCTCTTGCAACTATACTCGCAACAAATAGCGCCTCAGTTCATAGGGTATACAGCTCGGTACAGGATGGTGCGCTTTTGGCGTGACCTCCATCGCTGGGCATCCCGAGGCCTTCAGCCTACTTACGACAAGCTATACGACGAAGAGCGTCTGGAAGAAGAGCCTGGCTTATGGTGGAGACATCGACAGCAGAAATCATGGCCTGCATGGCCGAGAAAAGCGACGGTGTACCTTTTCCTGATAGATATGGTGATCGTCGTGCTATTGCTGCAAGCTCTTGAGCCCCTGATCACTCTGCTGCTCAGAAACGAAGAGCTCTTTAGCCCTCAAGTGACTCTGTCAAGCTTTAATGTCTCATATGTTGGCAATGAAGCGGCCCAAGTGAATCATATACCACAGATTCTACACCAAACCACCGCTACGGAGCAGATACCAGATCGCTGGATGCATTCACAACATAGTTGCAAGGAAGCTTATTCGGACTTTCAATATAAGGTAATTTTCCTAGTGCATTTGTGAGGGTCATTGCCAGTGACGGCTACTATTATAATACATATATTTCAGTATTTCTGAATTTCACTAATTCTACTCTCTAGTTGTGGACTGACGATTCAGCTCGCGAATTCCTCTCCAATCACTACTCCTGGTTCGTTGAAACCTGGGATAACTACGCCTTTCCTATCCAGCGCGCCGACTCAATTCGTTATTTTGTCTTGTATCACTATGGTGGTATCTACCTGGACATGGACAGCTGGTGCAATCAGACTATTCCTATTCACAAGCTCGGAGCAGGCAACGAGGCGGACTACGCACTCTTCAAATCAACACTTCCAACGGGCATCACCAACGATTTGTTGGTCACGTCAGCGAGACATCCAGTCTACGCGGCTGCAATTGCAAAACTACCCTTATTTAACGCCATCACTCGACCCTGGGCTCGACTGCAGCCATACTGCGCTATTATGATATCTGCTGGGCCTATGTTCTTGACCATGGTGGCTAAGGATTACTTGCTGGGGCAACCCTCACTGCCTTCGAAAGCGTTAGGGGTCATAAATTCAAGCGAGCTGGTGCCATACATCACCGACCTTGAAAGCAGCACGTGGCATCAATCAGATGCAAAGGTGCTCATGTGGATCGGAAGGCGACCGTGGACATGGTTTACCATGGGAACAGTAGGGCTCGCAGCTGGTTTATACATTATCAATCATCTATTGATACATCTTTGCAAAATTAGTTTTGGCAAGGTCCCATCTGATACTTATAGCGTCAAATTGGCGAAGGAAGCTTAAGCTGGGCCACATCATGAACTTTGTAACGTGAAATCAATCACGCATATATTATCAAAACTTGTAACGTTCATTCATACGAACTTATCTTTGGAAACAAGGTGTCAAGGATCATCAAAGCAACTACAAAAAGATAATTATATGAGACATTCACTGCATTGGCACTAAACAAGTTATGTACGGGTCGTTAATTCGGGAACAGAACAAGAATACAAAACACAGACGTTCCTAGATGGTTGTAAATGAGAAAGAAAAACAACACAGCTATGTCTAACGATATATTAGGTGCGTGGAGAGTGGGGATGCTACACAGAACAATAAAGATAGCTATACCTGTTCAGCTCAGAGAAAACTACACTGGGAACCCAGAATACAAAATCAGAAGTGACTCAATGACCCGTCCCGATCTCCCTCGAGAAGGGAGAGTCGCAAAAGTAGAGAAAACGAAGAGAAGGTGAAGCGAAAGTGGGATAATAAGGAATCAGGCCCAGAGCGTTCGTTCTGGCGCCATGGGAGGCACGGATCCCATGCGTCATCGACCAAGATGCGGAGGTAGCGCGAGCCTCACATGATCGCATCGAGGCAGAGTTTCTTACCCAACAGGCCCAATCAGGCTGCTCCCCGACAGTCCTGCAGAATCGCCCCCGAACGATTCTGTTCTTCACAGATGGTAGCGGGTACGAGGGTATGGTAGGTGCGTCAGCCGTGGCCCCGCGGGAGGGCATCTTCACGCGACGGCACCTTGGAACTACCGACGATTCAACAGTGTACGTTGCCGAGCTCAACGGCATTGAAATGGCGTCTGCCAAATTCATCAACCGACCAGATAACCAGAGGCCCACAAAGATGGTCATTTTCTCCGACAGCCAGGCCGCTATCCGAGCAGTGCAAAACCCAAAGCGATCGTCAGGCCAGTACGTAATCCAACAAATTTATAACCACGTACGAGCCCTCCGATCGCAAACACCCACGTTCGATCAGATTCCCGTCGAGATCCGTTGGATCCCCGCACACTTGGGTGTTCCTAGCAATGAGACTGCCGACGTTGAAGCAAAGTTGGCGGTAACTGGAGGTGTGGGGAACGGAGCGGATCAACTGACTGCCGGTGATGGCGTGTGGTGGATCCTCTAGCGATCGTGTCCTTCTAGCATCGACCGCGAAGCGCCGTGTGCGGCGGCGCATCAAGGAGAGGTAGGCACAAGAATGGGCTAAGGAGACAACTGGCAAGCCGAACCAGCGATTGGTGAAGGCCCTGGACAAGAAGGTGCTTCGGCTCTTCGTATCTCTGTCGAAGCTATATACCTCGATTCTGATTCAGATGCGATCAATGCGCATTGCACTGAACCACTTCTTATTCAAGATCAAGGCAGTCGAATCAGATCAGTGTTACTGTGGAGAAGGGTCTCAAACGCCGAGACACGTCTTGATGCAATGCCCGTTGTACGCTAAGGAAGACCTTCCTTGACAAGGTCAGGGCAACTGATCTTGGGGATTCGACGGATTACGATGCAATTGTGTCGCACTCGCAGGCCACCCGCTACGTGGCCGAATTCATGTTACAAACAGGCCTCCTGGGGCAATTCCGGCACGTCGAAATCGAGCCAGAACCACTAAAAGAAGGCGACGGAACAACGAGCTAGGATAGACTGGCAGGCGCAGGTAGTGAAGACGATGGGTAGGAGGAACGACAAGCCCAAGGCCGACCGAGAGGCCTTGGAAGAATACATCCAACATGTCAACACGCCAGTCGACGATGAACGCCACCAATTGAGAACGAAGCAGGAGGATGTGGATGCCAGAGAGGGAAAACAGAGACGGAGATGCAGAGGAAGCAGCAGGCCGTTGTAAGGGCAAATTGAGAGATATATCGTGGGATTGAGGGCATTGCGGGCGTTTCGGTACTGTTTTGGGTGATTTTCGAGCTGGTTTTATATGGCAATACGCCGATTTCCTATGTATCTACTGTTTCATGCGCGGGTCTGGCGTTCGGAATACTCTTGCTTCCGCCGGAGGAAGCGCCTGCATAGCCATTACGCCACTAGTTAGGCTGCATCAGGTTAATAGAGTGTTGATTGATTGATTGATTGATTGAAGGAATCAGGCCCAACTTAATTACCCAAAGACAGAATGTTTCTCGGGGTTAATCTTTATCTAAGGTTGGCAGGAAAAGGCCGAGTATCTTTCCAGTTACATTTGTCAAAATCATGGGTTCCATGGCGTTAAAGGTGAATAGAGTTATTATGTGCATTCACCTGAATGGGTCGGCGACGTGATATGCGCCACAGTAGCCAGAGAGGATTTGCGAATTGGGTGCTGTTAGCTTGTCGACTGTTTATGACATTTTCTAGTAGCTGATCTCATCCAATATCTGAAACAACATCTTATTCGACACTCGGCAGCAAGCAAGTTCCGTCTCCTCAAATCCTGGACAGATTCTGTGTCGGAGTTCATCCATGTCTACTCCCCGAGCATTGTACTGGGCTAGTAACTTATCGGCAACAGAAAACGGGGTTGTGTTGAACAAAGTTCGATCGAGAGGGTGCGGTTCCGTCATCCTGTTGCATGAAGATGAGATTTCGTACGTTTGCTGCTGCTCTGCCGATTCATGGGTAGGCATTATACTTGTTGGTTGGACATTGTCATTTAACGGAGGTTGTTTTACCGAGTCATCTTCTTCACTAGTGACGCTAAACATCACCTGCGATGGCGATGAGCAAGCGGTTTTGAGGGACGGTAGCGAGTTCGCCCCTGTTGGCCGCTCCATCACCGGGATCGCTACCTTACGACCCGCAGTTGAGTCTTTGTCAGACCATTGCAGGTGCTGTTTAGCCGAGAAGGCAGAAAATCCGAGCAATAATAAGAGACTTTTGAGCTGCTGATTCTCGGCTGCCATTTTTTGTAGGGCGATTCGATTCTGGACGTCCGTCCGCCGGGTTTCCTTCTGTAACGCCACCAATTGTTGCTCCATCTCCTGGACGTACTCACGCTTGCGGGAGCGCTGCTTTCGCTGGTTCTCACGTACACGAGCAAGGACATCGAGTTTCTTAATCACGAGTCACCGTAAACCCCTGCAACAAATTCTCACAAAGTCGCTTACATTCTGCCCTTTCATTTCCAAACTCATCGCGTCTGAGCTCCGGAATGATGAATATTTGAGGAGTGACGCGCAGGTATCATGCGAGAATCTGTCTAGCACTTGTCGCTCTTGGGGTAAATTAACGAGAATACTAGCATCGGTCGATGAGAAATGAGAGGCTGATGTTTTTAGCAGGTATCCCGATACACGAGAGTACAGAGAAGTGTTGTCAGGCCAGAGTTAACTACCTCAGGTATATTCTCGTAGCAGAGGTACAAATGAGGACGATAGCTTTAGAACACCCTGAGTTTGTACAGTTGCTTGTGTAAAATTAACTTACCTTTTAACTCCTCCCGGACAGTAAAGTGTATGCATAGTGCCCGTTATCGCCTTTCTGAGCGAATGTCGCAATCCTAAATCCGAACCCAATTTATCAGTCGATGGTATTACCACGCCTCCCAATAAAGACTAGTATCCAACTAGTATTGTCCCAGATCCACACAATAAACTTTGTGTTATATTATGACCTGGGCACGCAAAACAACAAGACCCTGCAAAGATAGCGTTTCTATAAAAGTCCCTTTCCAAGTACCGGCCATCTAGCTAAAAATGCCTAAAAATATGTAAAACTGCCAAGAATCAACTAGTACGGACGAATTATACCCATAAATTAAACTTTTTGATGTAATCTTGTTTTCAAATCTCTTTCTTAGCGGCCAGACGGGGACTTAGGACGGGATTAACAATTTCTAAAGAGAGCTTAGTGTTTACTTCTGGGTAATCAGGTGGTACGACGAGTATAGTTTGTAACCAAGAATACCAATTAGGCTTTCCCCGCAATTCATCATTGATCATCAGTTATTCTATGTGACTGAAGGGTACGTTTCCCCACAGGATATGAAACCCAGCTGCCTGGTATAAACCAGCTACGGTGCATATAAGTCGCCTCTGACGCACTATCCTTTATATACATCACAGTATCATAAGAACAACCCAAGTATCGAATATTAGCTCTTTCATTATATGATGGAGCAGGGGTCGGATAAAGCAGGCAACACCATCCTTCAGCAAGATGATATCGATGTTGAAGCGGAGAGAAAGCTCAAATGGAAAATCGACCTCTTGATCCTCCCCCTCTTAACAGGTTTCTACTTCTTCCAAAGCATGGTGAGTTCAAGACACACCCCCTTTCGGCTATGGGAACTTCCACCTATCCTCCGCCCATTTCACGCACTTAGTTTCACGAGTGATGAATCATGTTAATAACACTATTGTTTAGGGTGGGGCGGATGTGGGATTTGCTAGTATTGCCGGTCTTAATAAGGAGCTCCAGCTAAGCCCTCGGCAATTCTCCAACATTATTAATCTATTCTATGTTGGGTACATCGTTGCTCAGCTACCGGGAACTCTCTTTCTGAGATTCATTGGCCCATCTGGACAGCTCGGAACCGCATGTGTATTATGGGGTGTGTTCACAATTGTCCAGGTGGTGGTTCATAGCTACTCAACCCTCGCCGGGCTGAGGTTTGTTATCGGAGTATGCGAAGGATTTGGACAGGGAGCCGTTTTCTGTAAGCTTGTACATCAGGTATATATGGCTTCAACAGGCATGCTAATGGCTTCATGATTATAGACCTCTCATTCTGGTATACTTATCCAGAGCTTGCAACTCGGGGAGGTATATTTTGGGGATCAACATCGCTTGCTAGTGCTTTTAATGGCCTTATTTCGTATGCCATCCAGACTGGTTTGAATGGTAAGAATGGTTGGCTCTCTTGGAGATGGATATTCTGTATTGAAGGGATTATGCCTATCGGTTTTGGCTTTCTTCTCTTTATCCTCTTACCATCTACCCCGGAGAAAGCGAGATTCGGTTTTACACAAGCCGACAAGGACTTAGCTGTTAAGAGGAGTTGTCGAGCACATAACCCTGAGGACGCCGAGATACGTCCGCAAAAGATCGTTACAACATTATTGAATCCTGTCTTTTGGCTCTTCGGCGTGATCTTTAGTGCATATCACTACTGCAACGCCCCAATAACAAAATTTTATTCCAAACATTGTTCAGGTATGTTGTTACATGCTTCCGCTGTTTAATAGATAGGTTTAACTCTCTACGTGCAGGACATGGGATTTGTTTCGAACGTCAATGCACAGCTGATGTCTGCGGTGGTGTTCGTTTCGGCATTCGTCGGAGTTCTGCTCTTTGCCCGCATCGCGGATAAGACCGACCAGAGGGCAAAAACATTACTTGCAAGTTTGGTGTGCCAACTTGTGGGATATATAATGCTAGTTTCGTCGTCAAACTCGAACGTCCGCTTTACCGGAGCATGTATACTTGCTTTTGGTAACTACCCGGGAGCAGTATTGATTGTCACATGGATGGCCATGAATGTTGTGGGTTACACGAAACGGTGAGTTTGAAGGACCCTGGTCAAGCAATTGTTATCTCTAGCGCTAACCATACCTTTGGTGACGGTGTATCCAGGGGTTCAACCCTGGCTTTGATAAACATGATAGGCCAGGCTGTGTCAATAGGCGGTGTCGCATCATACGTTGATCCACCATTCTGTAAGTATTCTAACCGATAATTACGTATCATTCAGTGGTGAACTAAGTCAACCTTCCACCGTTAATATAGATCGAAATGGTATTCTAGGTTCACTTGGTCTGACTGTCACGGAAATACTCGCAACACTTTGTCTCTATTTCTATCTTCGGTAGCGCAACCGTTTGAAGGAGAGAGACGCTGACTCTCCCTGGCTCACGAAAGAACAACCAAGAGCCTGGATATAATTGGAGATGATCATCCAGGTACGTTTGACTTCCATATCATTCAATATTTATCATATTCTGGGCGCTCATACATGACCTCTTTCAGACTTTCAGTTTACCGTTTAAATGTCATATAGTGTAGCGGGGGATCCAGCGACATTATGGAGCTTCGCGGTACCTGTTTTTACCTGTTTTGCGGTCTGTTTATCTAGCTTCTTTTGGGGAATTTCTGCGGAAATTGTATGCTTTAGAGCGAGGAAGTCGAGGAATATATACAACACAGGACAGAAGGGAAGCGGCATTGGACGCTTTCTGAATGAGGCTTTTCTTCTCGTTTTTCTAGCTTTTCTCGCAGAGCATGAAGTTCCTTCAATTCTTCTACTCAGGCAGCTGGATCTACTGTTGGTAGGGCGTTTACCGACCGTGCGATTCCATCCTCTCGTTACCTCTCTTACTGTAGCTTCGCTATTGGGGGTTTGTTCTGCCTCTGCTACGACTCTGTCCCTTGCTCTCTCTCGTGCCTCGACCTGCCTGTGCCGACCAGGCTGCCTTGAGCTTCCCCACTTCAATAGGTATTAGTGTATGTAGTAAGGGAGCTGCAGGGAGAAATATGACAATTGTGTGGAATACAACCCCCGCCATTCTTTGAAATAGCAAGGAATACGTCTCGCAGGAGTAGGGGTTGGTAGTGTTTTCGACGTCATCAATATATCGAAAGTCAACCTTAGCGCTAAAACCATTCTATGTTATCTGTAGCCCTCTCCAGCTTCGTGATTGCATTCTTACCTCTGAGTTCTTAGGCTACATCTAAGAGCTGGTAGGCATAAAAGTATCCAATGGCCGAAGATTACATCATCTCCAGTCAACATTGAACAATACTTCTCATTACAACATGACTCACGAGAAGGGTCTAGGCAGAAAAGCGAGTTTATTGGGCGATTCCGAGGGAGACATCTTCCCTGCGTTTTACGCAGCTCACCAAAGTGCTATAACAGAACCAAAATATCCGAGGGTGATTTCGAAGTGTGGAATTATTCCTTTCGACGCTGGAAATATAATTTCTAATTTGGTTCTCGAGTTTAAAAAGACAATACCCCCGAGCTCGCGCCCTGGTACCGCCCAGGCCGGGGGGTTTCTACGACGCCAAATAACCCAACTGAAGCGACTTCGCAATCGATATATATCAAGAACCTAAGTTCCTATTATAAAATAGCTCGCCAATATCAATTAGCGAATCTCTTGACCTCTTTGCGGGGGCTTGTCGAAAATACCCCATAAGACGACACTAATGGAGGCAGAGATAAGAGATCTTCCTGAGGCAAATAATGATCTTAGCGAGGGAATAAAGGCTGGGGAAAAAAGGCTGCGACATGGAGGTGACTTACTCTGCAAGAGGCACAAATTTCACAAGGCCAGAATGATATTACGAGGCAGATAGAACAGGAATGCAGGCTGGACGTGGTTGGGAGAGAATGACCGAAACACGCGTACGACGCTATGGTGTCTCCGATGAGACCGGACCTAATACGCGAACCTGTCAGAATGGTATAGAGACGTCTGGAAGAGAGGATTCTGAGTGGTTTAAATTAATATATGGCGTTATGGTCGAGGTATAACGATGTTTGCGGCGTAAGGTCGTTTTCGTGGAGCCATAGGCTTATCTGGAACCAGAGGCTTATCTATCACGTCAGATTTATTTTTTTCTGAAAAACTTCAAAATGTCTCACCTCCAATGGACCCACAGGTATCCAGTAATTGATCTTTCTTGAAACAACTATTGCGAATCGTGATGGTGAATACCGCTAAGAGGCCGAGTACCAATTGGTCCCCAGAGACATGGTTGAGCTTACGGCAGCTAATTCGGCGGACTATAGAGTTGAGAAGGCCATAACCCCAAATTTCTTAAGTCCCTTCGCCGCTTCTTCTTCCGCCCTCTACCGAGTCTACTCCAATTACATCTTCGTGCATACTACCTGCTGCAGGCTCACCACACGTAGCCAGGTGACACTCTCTGCAGCCTCGTTTAATAGTATAATGCATACTAATGCGGCTGATTCGAATATCATCACGTTACAATCGCCGAGTCCCGGCCGAGTATAACTAATTACCGAGCCAGCGTAGCCAGCTGCCAGCCTAAGTAGTATAATTCTTCCATAGGAATTTCCCTCATCTTCGATTTCTGATTTACATACTAAAGATGGTACGCCCCCAAATTGAATTAGATCCTTATAAGGATCTAATTACTACCCTCTTGCACCAGCAAAAGACCAATCAGGAAATCTGTTCAGAACTTGCCAGATTGCATACAATCAAGATTGCACTAAGGACCCTCCGCCGGCGCTTACAGCAATAGGGCTATCGCCGTCTACCCTCGAGGACAGCAGATAATACTACTCTTTACAAGCGTATTCGATCTCTTGTGTATGATAATCTCTCTGATAGAGAGATCCTTCTAACGCTTCTTCGCGAGGGCTTCCAAATTTCCCTAGAGACTTTAAGAAAGCTACGGTAGTAGCTTGGTCTTCGGCGACGTACGGATGGTCCTAAGGCACAGCGCATCTAAGAGAATCAGATTACAGAGGTCCTTCGGCAAGAGATTCAGGATGGTAGTATTGAAGGTTATGGGAGAGGCCTTCTATATACCTATCTTCGCTAAAAGGGCTATATCTTTCCGTGGTAAGCGCCTATTATCCTTTATTTTGATTTATATACTAATTTATATAGAGATCGATTATTCTCTAGTTGCGGTGTTCCTAAGGGACAATGACATTCATTCATCAAGTGAAATTGATCATTTCCTTGGCCTTTAGTCATTAAAGATACTAGTCCTTCCATTCGCTCATAATCCTCCCTCAGTAGCTTCATTACATCGCCGCGTGGGACGTGGTGACATTGTTGCAGAGCGAGTACACCTAAAACTACGAGATCACCAAGTCTCTGCTTCTGCTCCAGCACGGGCATGATTTTGACTTCCAATCTATACTGGATTCGTATATAGAATTCGTGATACTGATTTACGAGCCTTGATTTGCAACAAATGGAAAATATCTGGATTTGAAAATTATGGACGCAAGATGAGACGATTGGGACAAAGTTATGTTCAGTGGCAGTGAAACACACACTGATAATTACAAAATGCAATTGAGCCTGGCGTCGCAAGGGTTTCTGGCAAATTCTGAACCAAGCGAGTTTATGAATTTAAACAACGACTTGAATTTCGACCTTGCTCAACCTTAGGACCTGTGATCGGCTGATGCTTGAAGCATTGCTCTACCGTTCTTGGGACACAACTAAGCAGCACGGTGTAATTATACAAGTATTCTGATGTTAAACAGTGTTCTGGGGTTCATATAGGGAGCATTTAATTACACTCCTGTCACAGGAACAAACACATAAGTGAACCCACTCTCCTACTTGAGAAGGAAGACTAACAACCATTGAGGTTCTCTCTAAACTCAGGCATGTCTTTCCATAGGCAATTTGCATTAATTCTCACATTAAGCAGCGAGATGCTTGTCTTGCGGCAATCTACTCCTCCCGTAAAGGAGGAAATTCCTACGTCAAAATGCGGATTCGCAGGTTCCCCTTGGCCCACTTCGCGTTCGATAATACTAAACAGGCTTTAAAGCAACTTATACTCAAAAATTGCCTGGATATGGAACTGGGACCAAGGATAAGAGACCAGCATGCAAAAGAACATCAAAAGTTATATATTAAGAATAAGACTCATTCAACGGGTAGGTAAATAAGTCTTGAAATAATTCCTCAGCAGCCGCAAGTAACGTATAATCCGCTGGACGTTGCCGCAAAATCTCCGCACCAAAGCGTCGGCGCGCACGCCAAATCATTTCTATCGAAATATTGGCTGTATTTCGTGATAAGACAGGCAAGAGCAAGGGAGCGGCATCATCCCACTTAGTGGTGCAGAGGTATTTAATTACCTCGCATGCCCTCGAAAGGTAGTAAGTTTCGTAAGAATTCCTTCGAAGAACTTCCCACGACCTGGAAATAATATTCCTCGCGCTGACCTGGTCAACAGAAGACGGTGAACAGGAAATCAGCTTCAGGAGAAAGTAGATAGTGTATATTATGTATCGAGTCTGATACAGAGGCCACGTTGGAAGGTCGGTCATATTCTGAAAGGCGGTTCCGAGTAGCGTCATAGCTGTAAGAAATGCATTATGAGATATCTCATCTCGCGGATTTAGGGCACAGTTCATGCCAAATGACTATAGTTGCAGTTTGGTGGCAAGAAAGTAGAGCCGGTCTCCAGGCCGCCAGCCGGACATCAGATACAACTCCTGGCGTTGGAATTCCACATCGAACATATTGATGATTGCATTAGAATTGGGGAGCAGTCCTGTACTTTGCTGGTCGCTATGTCCGAGATGGGAGCCGAATTTGAAGCTCTGATACGCCACGTAGAGCTGATCCGACAATGTTTTCGGCAGCCAGGAGGGTGGTAAGGCCAGGGCATGTTGAATCACATAATCAGGACGGACCAATGGGGAAAAGCCGTATATCGTGCTAACTCTGTAACAGAATGGCACTGTTAGCTCTCGTGCATTTATAAACGCGTAAGGGAGGCCCACTTCTGGCTCGTAATGAAACAAGCAATCTATGTCATTTTGTACTCT